ATGCTGACTAAATCATTATGCTAACAGTTTAAGTTCGTTTAAACTAATGAAATAAAAATTCATTTAAGCTACGGATTAAAAATATTTTATTTCATTTTTTTGTGCGAGACTTCAGTTTAATAAATAATCAAATTTAAATATTAATATACATAATACATTTATATGTATATTGTATTATATATATACAATTATAAATTTGTCAATTGTATATTTAATATAATGTATATATTTATTTTATTTAAAATGCAGACTGCTCATTTGAAGACTCAGACAAAGAATACTTTCTTTGTCGATGGGTTTTTGGCTCATTTACATTGATTTAGCTCATACCTAATTCCATAACCATTTCTTCGAATGCGGAATCAAAATGGGCCAATTTCTTGTATTCCACAACAAATTTGGAAGAATAGTATGTTTGTCATACCCTGATTTTCTATCATGAACAAAACATATTAACTAATTTAAGAAATTGTGATTATTATGTAAGCAAATTTTTATTTTAGCTATTAATTTAATATAGGATGATCAATTTTGTATAAGAATTAGTCGAAGACATTACCCTCAAAAATTGAAACAATTTCTCTCGTTCAAATAAATTTCGGACTTTATTTTATCTTCATGGTGAAAATGGCTACCAAATGCTATTTTTGTATGAAAATTCTCGATTTTGTATTTTACATTTTTAACTTTATTATGCTAACTTTTTGAAAAATGTATGGATCAATACAATCTTTTTATGAGAAATAGTATTTATATACATTATTCATTCGACATACTTTTTTTTAAATCAGACTATTTCCTTATATACGAGGGGGATTCATATCTAAAAAATGCATATAGAAAGTAAAACTTTTTCAACTTAACTTTTAAAAGTGTTTCGAAAAGTCGAACACTTTTATATATATGTTAAATTAAAGCTAATGTAATATACTTTATTATGGAAAAAAAAATTCGGACTTTATTTTGTCTTCACGGTGAATATACCATATGCTATTTTTGTGTGAAAATTCTCGATTTTATTTTTTACATTTTTAACTTTATAATGCTATAACTTATTAAAAAGTGTATGGATAAATACAGTTTTTTTATGAGAAATAATATTTATATACCTCTTTTATTCGACATACTTTATCTTGATCAGTATATTAATAAGGAAATAGCAGATCATGTAGCTTTTGAAATAATCCACCAATTAAACACTATTTAAAGATTTGCATCGAATCCTTTTTTTTTTTTGATAGTGATTTTAATCACTGTCAGATATCATTACACTTGATCCAACTTTGCTACGTCACCACTTTGCCGCGACCCCCCTGTGCTGGGTTTGGTTTTTTTTTTTTTAAATTTTCCCTATTTGCATGGAACAGGGAAATTTTTAAAATTTATGTAATTAATATCTTTATCTAGACACGATTTGTAATCTTTTGGCGAGTTGTTGAATAAAACAGATACAAAAATAAACACATCATAGTAAAATTAATGACTTTCTCAACTTTACATCAAAGATAAAAATAAAAAATTATTACAATTTATGAATACTGTATCAATATTAAACTTTCGAAATAAATAAAATACATACAAATTATGTTAATAATATGTGTGATTGTAAAATGTTTATAACTGGATAGTAACGACATCAGCTCTGTGTCCTTATTTTGTACGAACATAGCAACAGTGGCTGTAATTAATTGTCTGTCTAGTACAACATCTGAATTACTTAAGGTAACAAATTACAAAAAAAAAAATTGGAAAACGAGTACAAATTAAATTTAACGTGTATAACTGTATATTTAAAAAAGTAGTCATATACATCCTAATTAAATGATCTTTATAAAAATATTTGATATAATATTTAATGAGATAAGAAATTTTATTAAAACATCACTAATGAGATAATCAAAATTTAATATGTATGAGATAATTTACTTTTTACAGTTGCAAACTAAATAAAAATTAGTTATTTGTTTAATAATACTGAATAAATATTAACTATTTAAAACGTAAAATAATTATTTTAGTTAATACTTCGCATTATTCTTACATTAAGAGATAAATGACTACTAACAGTAATTTTAGCTTTGATTCGAAGCTGAAAGCTGTTTATTTATATTTTTTTTATCGCCTTTGCGCTAAGCTTTTAATAGATTAATATTGAGGAATAATACATTAAAACAATCTAAATTATATCCAATTTCAAATTATCCTCAATATTGAAAATTTTACCACAAAATTTTTTTATTAGTTCAAATATCTCAAATCATTTTTATAGATGCTTGATGTCTTTACCTATCATTTGGTATATTATTTATATATTCCTACAGCCGCTGCCGCCGTTTATACCTTAGGTATAACGTTCCCCCGCCCACAACACAAGGCTATACATCGTACATGACACGTTTACGTAATTAAGTCGCTTTACATGTATATATATATATATATATATTCTAATTACTATTAACAATATATATTAACACGCTTTATTCCCATTAAGAGATATAAAGTGTATTCATTCCGATTACGGGGGATGATTCCCGTATCGTCATTTTTCGTCACTACCACCATGTTACGGGAGTGGGTAATTTACAATATAATATTGATAGCAACTATTATCATAACATGAAACTAAAAAGTGAAAAATAAATAGTTTAAAAAAACACGCTTTTAAAGCACATCGCACTAAAAAGTTAAAAATAATTTTTAAAATAAGCTTAAAACAATAATGAACAAAATATAGTAGTATTATTATAATAAAAACGTGGATGCTTTGTGCCATATTTTTCGTATATTGAGCGCCCGACACTTTTATCACAATAATACTTATATTTTTCGTTCATTATTGTTTTAAGCTTATTTTAAAAATTATTTTTAACTTTTTAGTTCAATGTGCTTTAAAAGCGTGTTTTTTTAGTTTTTTTAAACTATATTTATATTTCGTTTATTTGACGCGGTCAAAATTTGTCCTGTAAAAATCACCGCAAACGCTTTGAGGAAGGGGATTAGGTGTATTACTGCGCACATCCTTAATCCAGTGCGGATAATAAGTTTCACACCGGTTTTGCTCCCAAGTGACTGGACCCTTGCAATTAGCAAGAAGATTAGGCGTGGGAGTTTTTGTGACCAATGAAAAATATCAGTTGAAGCTGCATGTTACGGCCATGAAACATGACGCATTAGGAAATAATCCTAATTATGATAATATATGAACAATACTTAGAAGGCCGTATACCTAATTAAACAATAGAATCCGTTTGACGAACGGACTATTCAAAAATAGGTCCCCAGGTAGATCCATCCCAACCCGGATTGGAGTTTCAGCAGCCGGACAAAATGGAAATAGAGGAGTCAGTTCTGGATGCACCTCCCTTGCGGATCCAGAATTCCCAGAGCTGCAGCGCATCACGGCAAACTCTAGGCTCCAAAAGTTAGCCGACCAGTCGAACTGAGGGAGGGGGGGGAATATGACGCGGTCGCATTGCACTTTCGCTATAACTGCTGGATGATGACTGCGACACAGCTGCCTTTCCTCGTCCGATAAGTCACGCAACGACAAGTGACCACGGGTAACACGAACCGGTCCGGCGATGAAATAATATTAACACTTTCGACATCCTTAATCCAGTGCGGATAAAAAGTTTCACACTGGCTTTGCTCCCAAGTGGGGCTGGGCCCCGTGCAATTAGGAAATCTTATTTTTATGTACTTCCTTACGAACATATTAATTTAAAAATATATTATCACTAATATTTAGTATCAATCGCCGGGTTATTATTTATTTATTATAAAACAAACCTTGAACTCTATCATATTTATCAAATTTTTATGGTAGCTTTACGAAAACAAAGTTAAAAAAATATTAAAATTTGCTCTATTTACAAAATAATACCAAAAAAAAAAAAACATATCATGATAAAATAAACACCTAAAAAAGATCAACCAAAATATCTACCTTAAAATTTAATGTTCTAGACGCAAGTCCAAAACTTTACAAAATTATTGAAATTATAAAATTTATTAAGAGTTTTAATTTTACTCTAAGAATAAATTTTTGTTGAACTAATCAATAAAAGTTAAAAATTATTTTTTGATAAAGGACTTACATCACCTATAGGAGATGTAGATATACTTTTAAAAACAAAGTTATTGTAAATTTTTAACTATAATTATCTATAATTGATTTATTACTTGTTTAAGGAAAGTAAAATAAATGTATATAATTATATCAAATATAATTATAATTCCAAACTAGTATTATGTCATGATTTTTTTCTTATATCAATGTACTTCATATCTATCAGTAAAGTAAAAAAAATAAATTAATACTTACTTTGAAATTAGTATTTTATATAGTATCTAATTAAACTAATTATATTAGTATCTAATTTTTCAAAAAAAAAAAACTATTCTAAATAAATAGCAAACTATGAATAAGTTATGTTCACTGTTTAACTGATTAAATTTGATGATGGTAAAACAATCAATTATTTTATTATAATAATAATCGTATTTTTAGGCCGTTGTATAAAATAAAATAAATGCATCACTAAAAAAAATTCTATAATTTGAGACATGTAGTGCGATCTATTAAAAAAAGTTGTCAATAACTTGACAATTATTTAATAATTTTATAAAAATATTTTAACAAAAAAAAGCGCTGTCATCTAATCTGTAAAATTTTTATAAATTATGTTTACTCTCTGGTCACTAGTAAATGTTGGGTAACAGCTGATTCAAATTGATAACACATTTTATAAGCATACCTTTACCTATTTGTAATTATCATATCAATAATAATAACAAGAATATTATTGATAATTCACAAAAAAGTGAAATAAATTGTCATTTAGTAAACTTCCTATTAAGTAATATCGTTTACCAAAAAATTATTATAATTTTGATAACAATTTCACAATAAATTTCAACTTAATGATTCAAGTTGAGATTCTTAAATATTTTAAATCATTTTTAATTAACCAGATAGTATTTATTTTTTTGTATAGATAACAAATAGGTTTTAAACATACATTTTATTGCTAGGTTTTTAGAATCAATATATGTTTTAAGATGAAACCAGTATATTACATTTATTAATTATTTTTTTTAGTAAGTAAATTTGAAGTTTAAAATTAATTATTGTTGAAATATATTTAACATATTATATTTTTTAGGGATTAAAGAAAAAAAAATGAACAAAATACTATATTTTGTTTTATTTTAAATGTTTATTACTTTTTCTGAATTTATATCAAATGTAAGTATAATTTTTTTATTATAAGAACTCTATAACAAATTGTATTAACTCAATACTTTTCTATTTTATTAAAATAAGGCTATACTTATTTGGCTGATAAATTAATAATTGACTATAATTATATAAAATATATTTTTAATTGGAAAACAATCTTGAAGACAGTTGTTTCATAATTGTCAATATTTAAAAAGTAAGATGATATATTTATTATGAACGAATACTCAAGATAAGTACTATAAAATTAAGGTTACTTTTTAATTATATAAATAACATATTTTATAATTTTTTTTTTTCTGAAATTTTGATAAATATCAGTTGTCAGAAATATCTAATAATACACTATATCTTTCATGAATAATAATAATATAACTATTGTGATATTATTTACCAAAACATTCTTCTTATATAATGCATTGTCACTTAAATAAACATATTTTCAGGTTAATATAGTTTTGCAATTTGTAATATGTCATTGAATAACAAGACTGAACCCTATAATGAGTCATCAGGTGTTCCAGTTGTGGATTTGTCTGATACCTCAGATGATGATGAATTAGCAGTAACAAAAAAAGTTGGTAGAAACCTAAGTGATCAACTAGAAAGGCCAAGAACACCTGAAACGCATTGTTCTATTTGTCTTGAAGAATTAAACAATAAATGCTACTCAGATTCATGTTGGCATGTGTTTTGTTTTGAATGTTTAAAACGATGGTCAACTGTTAGTTATTAAAATAACCCACATTTAAGTATTACTATGTTAATTATTAATTCTTTTAGATTGAATCATCCTGTCCATTATGTAAAAAAGGTTTCAAATTTATAAATCATACATTCACAGAACAAGGCATTCATGAAACTTATGAGGTACCTATTCAAGACAGAGATGCATCGTAAGTAATTTATGGCATATTTTAAAATTTTTTATTTCATTAAATTTCTATTTTTTTAGACAAAGAATTTTTTTACGTCCTTTTGCTGATGTTAATAGGTACGTTAAATACGATTTTAGTTGAAATATAAAATTATTTTTCATATAAACTGCTATATTTAATATTTTAAACCTGCATAATGATTTTTATTACATTTTTATTATGACCCATTATTTCTTTATGATTTCATACAAACTTGTTGTTTAAGAATAATAATATATCCTTTCATCAGCTTCATGTTTTTATAAATTTTACTCTGTATAATTATAAATTATTTTTTATATATTTGAAAATACTAATAAAATTTAATAGTCAATGTTGCCATTATGATAAAAATTGTGGAATCTATGTTTTAATTTACATTAGATTTTTCAGAATGAATTTATTGTTGGATCTCGTGAGAAGGAATGAGAGACTAATAAGTGAACAAGATCGTGGTTATTNGAAGGAATGAGAGACTAATAAGTGAACAAGATCTTGGTTACTCCCATTATCACCAAAGACAATTTCCAGCTGAATCAAATTTTACTGTTATTAACGGTCATCTTATACGGCGCCAAACTCATGGTAATTATGTGAATCCAATGTGAATTAGACTTAAGAATTAAGTATCTTTTGAAAAGATGTTTTAAAAATTAATTTTAATTTAAAAGTATTTTTTATTTGTTCTCAATTATGTCTATAAATTCTACATCTATTGATCTTTGTTTTCTTGTTATTTAAATAAAACATTTTTACAGGTGGTTCTTAGAGTTTAAAATTTGACCATTGATATAAAATTATGGTAGTGAGAGTAGTGAAGGGGTGAATTTTCCTACTACTGTACATTCTCTATTCTTACATGCCCCCAAATAAGTTTTTCTTCTATATTTGCACTTTCAAAATGTTATAAGACCATAATTATTATTATTGTACCAACTGTATTGTGAATATAGATCTATTTAAATATTATGTAACTCTTCTAACCTATAATTATTTGATTTTTAGGTCAAGCTATGAGAGTTCGTGTGTATACTGACAATGTTTGGGCTGAACCATTGCCTGATTTAAGTGGTCGCTTTAGAGATTGCAGTTCAGCATTTTATAGGTACCCAAGAGTTAATAATTAATAAAAGTATTGTTTATTATTAATATTAAATCTGATACTATCCTTTTAATTTTTCTTTAATAATTATTACCACAAAGAAATAGTATTATGTGTAAAATTAATTATACTTTGGTAATTAGTATGTATGAATTAATATCTTCATTATTATTTTCTTTTTTAGAGATAATCCAGCTCAAATGTACCGATTGGCTGGTTTTATTGTCCGGGATATTTCGGCCATTAGAGAAATAGAAAGATCTGAAGGTTTAAGATCTGATAATCCGAATGATGAAGACTATATTACAAATATAATTATGCAAACAATTTTAAATTATGAAATTCGTGAATCATTTACAACTGCTGTTTTAAGACCATTTCTTGGTGAATATACTGCACATTTTTGTCATGAGCTACATAATTATGCTACTAGTCCATATGATATGATTGGTTATGATCGTAATGTAAGATATAATAGTCGCCCAGGTTTTACATCACTTCAAAATGGTATAAATGTAAGTTAATATGCATTTAAACATATTTGAATATAGCATAATTTATCGTATTTATAACAATTTTTTTTTATTAGACCATTGACTTACAAATTCCTGTTAATCCACCTACTAATGTTAGGACACTGCCATCTTTGAACGATACAATTATTGTTGATTCTGAAAGTGATTCAGATTCAATTAGAATACAATATGCACAAGAAGTCATTGTGGTAAGCAGTAGTACTAGTGAAGATTCAGATATTGAAATTCTTAGTCAACCATTCAGACCTGTTGATACATATGATTTTTCAATTAGAGATCAACCATCTACTTCTACAGGAATACGTAATTCCTTAGACCGTCCTACTAATAGGTAACTATTTTATATTATAAAAATTAATATGAAAAATATTTAGATTTGGTGATGATTTACTTATGTTTTGTCATTATAACTTATGACAATGGTAAGGTCTTACCATATACAGGTGTTTCAGATCTAAATGACAAATCTTCAAATATATCTTAAGGTAAATTGTTAGTTAGGTCTAAAACACTGTATATTATATTATGGTATTTTATTTAGGAAAAGTCATAATACAGTTTCCCTGTTCTAACAAACAATATTAAAACTAATTAATTAAACAATTCTTAAATCATTTTTCTGTTAAATTTTACCTTTTTTTTAATCAAGTCAAATAAATTATTTTTATTTTATTTGTAGTACATCAATTTTTATTCTTTAATTTTAGGTATAATCTTAGACGAAGGAGATTATTTTCACCTCCACTAGCTGATACAGCTGGATGTCCTGTGCACTTATCTCGAATTGGATCTACATCTAGTTCAAGACGAAGAAGAATTACAATAGAATCCTCATCATCTGATGATGAAGCAACTATTACTCATCAGCCACAAGCATTGCGCATGAAAGCTGAAATAGTGTATGGAAAAAGGAAAAAGAAGGTAAAAAAGAGCAAACAGAAAAAGAAAAAGAAAAATATGGATACTCCATCTGATGTACGTTTTAGGAGTAGAAGTCGATCATATTCAGGGTCATCATCTTCTTCGGGTGATACAGATCTTAGAGGTCATATTTCTGTTCAGCCATCAAATGATTTGTAGCTCAATCAAAATCAATTGTAAATTTTTTTTTTTTAATAATCTGATGTATTGTTAAACTACTGTTCAGTAAAAATGTATTTTATAATTAATAGTTATTTGTCTTCATTTTAAATTGTATATGATTATATTTATTTAAAGTATTTAACTTATGATTAAACTGTATATAAAATTCAAACTAATGTATTGACATTATTTATCCTATAGATCTAATTTCTCCTATTTTTTTAATAAAAAAAAGTGAACACTAAGAGTTTAATTGAGTTCAAAAATCGAACAGCTTATAACATCACAACATATTACATGTAAAAATCTATTTATAAGAACTTTTTCATAGGATTTTTAAAAGATTTGATTTGTTTTATTATATACACTCTTGTATCACTCTAATGAATATAAATATTTCATTATTAATTATTCACCTTATATTCGTTTGATTCTTTTATAAAGCAAAAAATCTAAAACGAGTTTTGCTTACCACCAATTAGTTTTAATGAATATATTTTTTACTCGCTTTTACAGTTTATGAAGGGCTATTGCAGCCTTTCCAAAGAGAAAATTTCTTAACCATGCATACTCCGGGACAGGTGGTGAGTTCACAGAGAGAGGAATGACAACTACAATTATTTACTGATTTCTCTTGACAAATTTAGACATCCGTAACAGCTGCAAACCTGTGACAGTGTATCAGGCCCTGTAAAGTTATCAAATTGGCTTCATCATCCCTCTTATAATGGATATTTACACAAAACAAAAAAAATAATTTTTAGAGAGCTTATAGCTCCTTTAATTGGGCAATGTTTACATGAAGTATTATGTACTAAATTAAACATTACTGGAAGACATAATATGTTATATATAAGTATACAATATAATTTACATCAGGGTTTTAGGAATAGGACCTTTAAAATGCAAAATTTTAAAAAATCATATCAAAATTAATTTTAGATCAATTACACATGAAAACATTGTGATAACTATGTAATTGTTTTTTGAATATTAATCTACTTTGAACTATAATCACTGTTAAATAATCTTTATTATTAATTAAAATCTTTAATATTTATTTTTCTTGCTATTTTTATTAATTATTAATATTTAATGTAAATTATTATTTAAAATTATTTATTAAATTAATCAATTTAACAAATATATGTTTTTGATTTATAATAAGAAGTCTTAAATTTTTTTAAATGTAATTGATTGCTTAACTGAAAATGATTCTAATAAAATTGTGTCCACCCTAATACTTTTGTATCTAGTTAAAATATATGGATATTTGTACAGTGTAACATTCATTACCTTTTTTGAACAATAACTATCTAAGTAATACTTTAAAGTAAACTTAAAATAATAAAAAAAAATTGCACATATATTTTTACAGTGTTCAATTCTAAATGCTTATGAAATATGTATTTAGACTTTCGTATTATATTATATTTACATAAATTAATAACAATAGATTTTTTCGTAAAATAAAAAATTACAAAATAATGACAGATACAAAAAAAATATATCAATTACCCAAATATACTAATTGCAAACATAACACTACATTTGACTAGTCATCTTTAACAATATTCTAAATGTTTAATTAATTTTATATGGTATAATTTACAAAAACTTTCTGTACACTCATAGAAAACAGAAAATATAATAATCTCTTTTGAAACAATTTAAATCATAGGAATAATAACTTAAAATCAACATATATAAATTAATTATTTTTATAACATATATTTTTAAGTTATTAAGAAATAGATTAACTGAATAATAATTTCAATGACAATACTTTTGTGAACAATTTTAAAATAATTTTTTTTTCTTATAAATTTTATTGTCAATAATTCTTATGTAAAATATTACTCTAGTATATTATGTTTAATTTATAGATAATTAATTAAAAGACATTTATTATTAATTTAATTTAACAAAAAATTTTAAATTGTATTATTATGTAATCTATACATTAAATTATTAATTATTAAAAAAAAAACAAATAATTTAAATTAAAAAAATCATTCACACTTAATTATCTATATAAATTAATTATTACTAATACCAAAATGATAAATAAAATTACAAAATTATTGTCTATGGTCGTTTTTACAATAACTTAATAATTATAATAATATTTTTTATTTAATTTCCTTTGTTATACAAAAATAAGATGTAATTGCTTACAAAATTAATGATTAGGCATTATTGAACAAAAAAACGTATGTCAAATAATTAATGTTACCAAATTATTTTGTAAGTAGTACAAATTATAATAAATGAAGTCGCTCTCCAATTGAATAAAAAATTAACATAAAGTCCGAGCAACTAATCTTAAATATAATTAAGCACAAATATTATATCGTTTTACAAAATAAATTTAATATTATACACAAAAAGTTTACAAAAAAAAAGTTGCTGATTATGTTATTCAGCTGTAGTACGATGATCACGTTATCCATATAGCAGTTATTAAACATAAAAGTACTAAATATGAAGTAACTATTAATGCAGAACTTGAACCACACTGTTTTATTTCAATTTCCTAAAAGACAAAATAAGTATATTAAGAATTCAGAATAGATACAAGGCTTTTAAAATTTAAAAATATACTTCTGGGTGATAGTTGATACACTTTCCAGTAATTCTTCTGTGAATGTTTTGTTCTTGACAATAATAAACTGGCTGTCCGGATTCATCAGCATGCCGGACTTCTTGAGGCTCAATGCTGAGTTGCTTGCTTCCACATGGACATAATGTATCTACTACTAGCAATATGAGATTACTATGAGGAATTTTTTGTACGCTAAATGGTCTGTATAACATAATTATAATATTACACGATTAAATAAAACTACATATTTATGGATTTTGTTGAATTAAATATAAAAACAATGTACCGTTCGCATCCAGTTGCATGACAGTTTGTTAATTTCCCTTTAAGTGGGTTGAACGAACCACTCATATTCAGCCTACTTGGTTGTAAAACATAAAGATCAACCGTTTTTTTGCATGTTCTCGTGACTCCCGGAAGAGTATGATTGTGGGTTGGATTAAAATAATCGTTGTTCTTTATATTAGGAACGTATAAGGGGGGGTGTGGAGGCAAATCTCCATAGTCATTATTTGAACCAGCATTTGGATTTTCATCCCTTAATATTGGTTTTTCACTTTGGTCAACAGGTAACTTGTCTTCCGGAAATGAACCATCAATTGGATCTATATCATAATCGGCGTATGCTGGTTCTTATTAAATAAACAAAAATTTATTGTCAATTTATTGTAATCAATTAATTCTTAAAATCGATTTATACTGACAATTTATTTACGATTTTTTTTANTAATTCTTAAAATCAATTTAAACTGACAATTTATTTACGATTTTTTAAAATTATTTAACAAAAGATTATGTTAAGTATGTTATTTTATAATGACCATTTACTTACCATCGGCTTGTCCATAAATCCATTTTGGAAACAATACATGATACAAATGAGTTTCAATAGCCATCCAAGTCAAACGTCCCAAAAACCATTTTATAAACCATGTAATAGGTTGAAAAGGCTAAAAATAAAAATTGATTAAAATAAAAATAGTTATTTATTTCTAATATTTGTATAAATACTCGAAGTCCTGTTGCTGAGTCGGTGCCCAGTTCAATTCCATTCTGACATGAACCTTGGTTATCGACCACTGTAATCTTTTTGTAAATTCCGTCTTGTACGAGTGAATCCATGATTGTACCATCAGTTTGACCGAAAAATTGTCCTGTGTGATGCGACTGTTCGGATATTATTATGAAGCCATTGTTGTCTAATACATAACAATCAAGATCATCCGAAGCACATGTTTTTTTACAACCCGTCATACCAGTACACTAAAAAAAATTCATCAGTCATGAAATATTTTTCATATTTATCCTTTATACTATAGTTTATATAGGCATAATCGAGGTGAGCATAGGGGGACTTAGTCCCTCTTGAAAATAATATTCGTAATATAAGCCCCTCCAGTATATTGTAAAAACTGGTTTTAAGCATAAAAAAAATATTGTTCTATAATATATATATCTATTATATAACTTTATTTTATGTTTCCAAAAATTCATATTTTACTAAAAAAATTATGTGATATATAACTGGCAAACGAAATTACCATATCAAATTATTACTATCTATCTATACGCTATTAAATATAAATAATATATTTATATTATACTGATCCTTGTAAGTTAAATATGATTTCAATTATGAAATAAAAATTATAATTGATCAATAGCCATCAATAATTAAAACATCACTTTTTTTTTTTTTGAAAGGGCAGCTGCTTAAATTTTAATATATATACTGGATGAACATAAAAAGCTGCAAAAATGTTCCCTAAGTATATTTTTAATTCAGATCTCAATCTTATTTATTTTTTTAAAGGGGAGATTAAAGAAGGTACTTATCTCCCTCTTCTATATGACTATACTGTTTGATATTAAGTATAGGCATAAATAATTGAAAAAAAAAATTAAATAAAAAATCAATTTTTTACCCCGATTTCAAATCTGCAATTATATTTTTTTCTATCGCCTTTTTTGAAAAATTAATACGAATTAATAATAAACAAAAAATTACTAATGAAAAAAAATATAGGATAAAATGAAAATTAAAAAAACACATCAGCGGATTAAATCATAAATGAAATACTTCTGAATATTAGTATATTATAAGATATAAGAAATAACTATACGGAATATAGTTCTGAATATTTCAATTATAGCATCTATTTAAACACCAGAAGTTACATCAAGTGATATTATTTGATTTTTGTTTAAATGATTGATTTCGATATGAATACAAAAAAGTTATGACAAATTTAAGTAAAAATAATATTTTATAATTTAAGTATAACTTATAGTACCTAACATAAGCTTTATTTTAACATATGTTTGAAACTCGGAGTATTTGAATTATTTTCAAAGGTTAAATTATTGTACAAAAGTTGCTATTTCTGATTTTACTTATGTGGGCAGGTAGAGGGTCAAATTTCCAAAAAATTTTATTAAATAAAAGGGATGTACCTAAGGTTTTAAGGAAAATTATTTGGCTTCGTTTATTTTTCAAATAGTTATGGCAGTTTTAAGAAAAAAAAGTAAAAATAAAAAATTATAATAATTTATGTATACTGTAACAATATTAATTTTTCGAAATAAATTAAATACATACAGTTGAAGTAATGTTGATAAAATGTGAAGCGATTGAAGAATGTTGAAATTGGATACCAACGACAGCAGCTGCAGCTCTGTGTCCCTTATTTTCTACGAACATAGCATGAGTGGCTGTAATTAGTGGTCTGTCTAGCCCAGTACCTTAAATCGTAATTTTTTAATGATTAAAGTATATATTATTTAATAAAAAATTTCAAATGTAAATCATCATTTTGGAACTGAAAATAATAATTACCTGAATTGAATGGCACTGAAAATGTAAAGCTTTCAGGTTCAACGCTATGTTGGTCAATCGCTCGTTTATACCATACTTCATCAATAGCTCGACTATTTGTCTCACTAAAATGACTGCAAAAAAAAAAATGAAGATAACACATATCTGTTAAAATATAATTTAATCAACTCGACTAAAACTTACGGTTCTGATCCTTCATTAGTATCAGTTCCATGTTCTCGCCATCTTAATAATCCACTTCTTGTAGCAATGAAAGTTAATGTTACACCAAACATATGATGTCCTTGACTAGAAGCATTAAAATTAAAAATGGGAGTTAAATTATAAAGAAATATTGATGTTTTATACACTTTTTCTAAAACAACAACCTTCGAAGAAGTTTTTTAAATATATGTAAGTTGTTTATTTATAACGACATAATCAAAAAAGTTATCTGAAATTAAAACTGTTTTTTTTATAATTATCTAACAAAATAATACTGTCCTATTAAGCAAAAGTTCCATAAAAACAATAATGTTAATTTTTAATAAAATGTATGTTAGTATTTTTATTTTTACTATTATCATTTGCTAATTTATTTGATTTAGTAAAAAGAATTTACATATTTATAACTTTTTTGACGAAGAATACATTGAAACAAAAATTTAAGTGTCCATTTTATTTATTACGTAAATAAAGATACTTTTATGTTATTATTTAGTGATATAAGTGGTATGTATACCTATTTATTAAGGAGTAATACCGTAAGTAAATTTTACATTACTTATTATAGTAATTTATTATATGATATAAAACAAATTATATGAAACATTATTAAAATAAAACATTATTTTACAAATTAAAATAGGTTTCGCCTGGCGTAGATACCAAATACACAAGAAACAAATTCTACTCGTGTAGAATATAGTAACCGTGTTTCTTTGGCTCTCTTTGAGTATACCTGTTTGTCCAATGCTCAATAGCTACTAAAGGGGTAGCCTATAGATCCGTTAGCATAGTTCAGATCAGAAAATATCAGACTGAAGAGTGACCCTTTGGCACCAGCACATTTACCTTTTCACTTTACTAACTAAAGGACTATTCAGCCCAAATACTAGCCTGCTCGCACACTAACTATTGATATTAACTGAAAGATCAGCAACCCGATCTTAACTCTAGCGTAGGGTGACCATTTATTTAAAAAAGTGAGTTTTTACTATCCCCTTTCTATAAAAAAAAATGCATTTTAAAACATGACAATTATAAACAAGATAAATTTATTTTGAAATTATAGAAAATTTATTTTTACTAACAATAACATAATTTACTTTTTCTTAGTGAAGTATTAAATAATATGTACACATATTATTACACATAAATTTGTTTTTTAACTATAAATAAGAAAAATATTCAGCTATCTATTCTTCATTGTTCATTAATTTAATAATCCTTTTTCTACGCTTTTCAAGGCAGAAGAGGTAGAGGAAAACCAAAAAAGAAACGGAGGGATGCTATTGAATGCGACATGAGGACAGCTGATGTGAGAGATCGTGTCAAGTGGAAGTTTAGGATAAGGGAGGCCAAATCAAAGTAGTTGGGATTAAAGCGAGGAAGAAGAAGACTTTTATAAAGAACTTACTGAATTTAACAATTCTGAATGCTTCAAAATAATTTATAAAATTGTAAACAAGTTAAATTTTTAAAGTGTTGTTTCGCAATAATTATTGATCCTATGTGGTTTCGATATTAAAATAAATTTTGTCCATCCATAGTATATTTGTTAATGAAAATATTCTTTCTACAAATTCATTTGTTCCAGGTATAGCAAATGTTTATTCAATTATTGTTGGAAAGTTAGTGATAGAAATATTATTTTTTTCTGTTTTAAATAATAATGAAGCACTTTCTCAGTACTTTGCTAGCCGTCTAATTTTCGTGCTGTGCTGTAGCTAGTGAGCCAGTCCTTCCCTGGTAATCGAATTTGCCGTCAAAGTATACTTAACAAAATAATAAATTTAGAATTATTTATTTGCTTTCTCAACTCTATTCAGCAACTTTTCTATCCTATTCAAATAAATTTCCAAGTTCAAACTATTGTTCCGATCAATAATGAATTTAATCTTTTCAGTCATCAGCCTTAAATAATCCTATATCCCGCACTCCTCCTTTTAGCTCTTAGAATAGACAACTGACTTCTTATACCCAATCTCCATCTTCAGTATCATAATTATTTCACTTATATATCTTCATAAAAAATAAATTAAGCTTCACTTAATTGTTGTCAAAGTCCTCATCTTGAACGACATGTTTCAACTTCCTTTACTTCGACCCAATCTTATTTACAAAATAAACTCCCTGTACCTTCTACGTCCCAAGCAAATTTATCCAGCTTCCAAAGAGCTAAAATTGGTCCAAATAATCAATTTTCATCTTATCTAGTTTTCACTTGTTTTCCACCCACCAACAACATTTATTTCTTATCACATTTGATTGTCTCCGAGTTTGGTGGTTTTATATAAAATGTACACCATACAAACCTCTACAAAGCCTCTACATCGTCCAAAATAAAGTCCACTTTTTTTAAATCTTACACTTAAAAAGTAATAAATATGATCACTGACCACGAGTTAATTTATAATCATAAGTAAGGGTTTTACTACACATCAAATACTAATATCGTTTTATAAAATACAAAATAAATAATTTTAAAAATAAGCTTAAAATAATAATGAACAAAAAATACTAGTATTATTGTGAAAAAAAGCGTCAGCCGCTCAATATACGAAAAATATGGCACAAACCCCCTACGCTTTTTTTCACAATAATACTAGTATTTTTTGTTCATTTTTATTTTATGCTTATTTTTAATTTTTTAGTTCGATATGCTTTAAAAGCGTGTTTTTCAATTTTTTTAAACCATATTTATTATTCACTTTTTAGTTTTTTTATAAGATCGCTGTTACAGTCACGGAGTGTTTATTGTCAATTATCACTAGCAATGGATATAATTTCTGTATTGCCAGTTGGTGTGTTTATAAACTCACAACAATATGTCTTATTACCATTGATAATAAAGGCTATATGCTTGCTAATATCGCCATAAAAAACAAATTAGCAACTGTATTTGTAATCCCTATATATATATATGTATAATATTGATGATTCGCCCGCATGTACGGGTTCGAAAATCAAAAATTATACAGGTAAATAGTATTCTTGGCAAGTGTTGAGCGGGGTAGGGTGAATGCGTTATGACAGTCTAGTTTCAAAGCCATAGACAACGGGATACGCGAGATAATAACACGTGGTGTTAGTTTCCCCGTTGAACCATCGGCGACGCGCTCTAAGAATTATCAATATAATTTAATATTCTTTTACTAAGTTTTAATTATATTAAAGAAAACCAACAAAGTTTTTATAATAACTATTATTTTATTTCAAATTTAACATTTCTTATGTTGGTTTTAATAGTTGCGGCACTTTTACTTAGCAGGACAGAATAATTGTATAATTTAATTATTATAAGCTATAAATCGTATATATATTTTTTATTCGCAAAATTTTTTTTTTTTAATGTTTTAATAATCGTATGACAAAATAAAAAGATTTTTTATTTCTTCGAAGGAAAATATTTGAAAAAAAATAACAATAATAATCCTACACTTGGGATATAACATTACACAATTTTGTTATCGTCTTACCATATCTGCAGCTTTAAATATATAAAACATCAATAGGAAAGGGGAGTTTATAGAATATATTTTCATATTATTAAAAAATTCTTATTGTTTACATTGAAAATATTTATCTAAATAATCATAATAACTCAATAGCCATCTACGTTCGAGTGCAAAATTTTATACTGAATTAACCACTCATATCTACTTTACCTGTGCAGAAGTGCCATTAGTGTGGCTATGGGGCTTTAAAATGTATAAAAGGTTAGTGCATAAGATTTTTATTAAGTGCAAAACAGTGTAAACATAAATAATAAACGATTTAAACTAAAAAAATTAGTATAAATTAAATTCATATAAAATGAGACATAAAATAGAATTTAATCATAATTTTTTTAAATTTAAAAATATATATATATATTTATAAATATACACTTAATTATGTAAGTTAATTATTAATTATAAAATTCTATTTTACAATCCTCATCATAATTTGGTGTTTCATGCAGTTTAAATGGTACTCAGGGTGTCATTTTAGTTTCACAAGGTGGGCGATTTTTAAATTTATGAAAATTAGCCTCGGGTATGAGTCTAAAAATACACTATTTTTGAGGATGGGGTAATTTTTTATACTTATCGAAAGATTCTTTAATATTATACACTAATGCTTAATAAATTACAAGTAATTAATTTTGAAGGAATAATTCTTTCATTATTACTCAACAATTTGTTTAATTATTAATTTTACAAATATTTAATCATTAAATATTTATAAAAAATGATGCTGGCGTAGAGGTATTTAACGAAAAAATTATTTTAATGAAAAACAGGAACAAAAAATGACACCCCTCTTTTCAGTGTCTTGCAACACTTCATTACCTATACTATTAAAATAATTTAGGTATAAAATAGATGTGAATAATTTAAAGTTTTGCTGTGCTTTTAAGTGCCTATATAATTTAATTAGGCCATAATTTATGTCTAATGTGTTACCTATTTAATAAATTTTTCATTCTCAATAACAATTTTGGAAATTTGCTGAAAATAAATAATTCAAACTTTTTTAATTGACTCAATTCATTTTTTTATATAATTAATACGATTAAAATGAATTTACTTTAAATAAATACTCTAAGTAATAGATTTCGAAAAATGTTGTTTTTCCCCTTCGCGTAGTATAGTTTATTAACAAAAAATAAGTAAAATGAAAATTTTTTTGTTATTATATAAATCAAATTCACAATTTATCAAAATCCTAAAATAATTATTTTAATTATATTAAAATTTCAAAATATTTTTGTTAGAAAATTATTATTTTGATATTTTATTGTATATATCCATAAATTATTTAACTTACTGCTTATCAGCCTTAGATATTTGAATAGTTGGTTGTTCTAAACTATCAGTTACAAGAGCATCGAAAACCAATGATTGTAACAAATTTTTATCACCTAAAAATATGCATGATTATAAATATTATACTTATTAAACAATGAACGTTTGTAAATTACTTACAATAATGCGAATCTTTTTCTTTTCTCCATGTATTGTAAGCTTGATTTGTATCTATTTTTTTTATTTGAAAAAATATAGATTTTATATTATATTATAACCGACAATAACGAAAAAAATATGAAAAATTACCAGTATCTCTTTGTGTTAACCTTGATCTCAATGACATCCATTTCCAACCTGGTTTTTTAGTTCTGGACAAAAAGTGTAACACTCTATCTTCGGGCGTTTTAAAGTTATATTCGTTTGCGTAGTTGTACTCGCAGTAAACCCTATATCGAATATCAAGTCTTGTGTTAAAGTTAAAATCATATAAACCTTTAATGTAATTATTAATATGATTTTAAGTTGCTCTCCTTACCAATCTGGGTGAACCTTCCAATGTTTTCCTTTAAAAAACTCTGTGACTAAAAAAAAAACGTTTAAAATTATTTTTTTTTAATTAATACATAATTATATAAATAGTAAAACAATTATTTTTACTTACTATTAAACTGAGTTAGTTTGATTTCTTCTTCACCAAGTACCTCATACATTCCATAGCTGTCAGGAAGAGCTATTCCTAAACTGAACGGTGTATCTTTGATAGGATGATAAAAGTATTTATATTTCCTCGTAGTTACACGTCTCTAAAAAATATATGATATAAACATTATATCATTATTGTTACAATATACTATTTAAGATTTAAATTAATAATTCACATAACATGACACTGTATACCATTGTAACAATAAGCTACATATATACTTTTTGAATATTTAAAAATATACTAATGAATTTTGTATAAAAAAATATATACTAATTATATGATGCAAATAGGAAGTAATAAACAATATGTAATGGTAGCACATAAATTTTAGGGTAAGATATTGTATAAGAAATGATAGAATATTATGAAATAAAGATCATTGATTTAATTAATAACATTTAATAAATTACGATTAATAAATAAATAATGATTGCGTCGGTGATGATCACTTCTTGCCTTTGAAAATACCATCAAGTTTAATATAAAAATCCCAAAATAAAGAGCATTCTGGCTCAGGTGCGGTCATTCATTTTAAGAGGTTCTCAGTTACATTCAATCACGATTAGTCAAACTTAATTCACAACTCGTTTTTATTTAATTCATCAATGTATGTGCAAGAAAAATAAACGTTAATTTATTTCAAAGTATTTATTGGAAATATCAAGATAGGAAAATAATAATTTTATCAAAAAAATATAAGATTTAAAACTAAATTTTACGAGTACATAGATTAAGTAAGCATAAAGAACAATCAAGTGATCATCAACAATAAAAATATTTACTAAGTAAATTTAATAAATCAATAATGTTTGTGCAGAGTTATATCATTGATATGTATCTATTTCAGGAGTTAAGTAGGAGGTTCATATATTGTCGCAATACTACTCTGGGTAGACACACGAGATGGCTGAATCCTATATATAATTGATAACCGTCAATATTAGTGACATAATTGATATTAAAGAGTGTGACAATTGATTATAGTAAATGTAATATTAATAAATAAAGATCACTTTGTTTTTCTTTGTTTTTATCTTTCTTACAAACCCTCGTACACATACCTCGAGAAATAATATTATTAAAACAACAAGATAGTAACTCACAACGCCCCTCCTCATTTACTTATATTTTCTATCTTTTAGAATTACTATAATATATTTAATTTAAAATTTTAAAAAAAAATATATAAAATAATATTTTATAGTTTTAAAAATACATCGTGTATTAATGTTGCAAAAAAACTTCTTGATGAATAATTTACCATATTATCCAAATGGTTTTTTACTTTCAATTGGCTCTCGCCTTCTTCTTGCTTAACCATTTCACGCCTCAACTAAAACAAAATTATATTAGCGTGATCAGAATGATTTTTTTTTTTTTTATAAATTACACTTACTTCAAGTAATAGAGTGTTGTTATTATTGTCCGCTTCCGGCAACTCAATCTCACTCAGATCGACCGTCTTATACTGAGGTCTGATCGAGTCGGATTGCTGTTTAAATAAAGAGTAATTATTATTTGAATTCATTATTTTCGAGTCAATTTTATCTAAAAGATCTTACCGTCGGACGGAAATCTGGATGATAAAGTACATGACCATTGTTGTCCAGTATAAAAGAGTAACCATTGGCGCCGAGCTATACGATAAAAAATTTATGTATAAAACTACTCAATTCACATATGTATTTTATAAAACATACCTTGTAGGCCGGTACAAGTTTTTTTATATCAGAAATATAAACGTCCATACCGACCACACCCAATAAATTGGCAGCTCGTTCCTACAAATCAAATTTGGAGTATTAGAAACAATTATAAAATAAATACCTTCTATTATCCACAATGTGAATACTAACCGAATAATTTCTCTTATCGTAAACAGGTGCTGACACAGTTGTCATAAGTCTATTATCTACGCTGTCAGTAGCTTTCAAGTTGTCGACCTAAAAAGTGTATTATTATTGACAAATTTGCTCATTTTTTTTTTTAAGAGAATTGGATATTTGATTAAAAATTGATCACAGAGAAAGTATTCATTACACGCGAGTCATATTCATGAATGCAACTTGAATGAAATTCATTATTGAGACTAATGTATTTTTACCTTCCCTTAAAAATATTTTAATATTACATTATTTATAATTTACTCAAAATTTATGAGAAGTAATTTTTGGAGGAGCGTAAATTCCCAAACACCGCATATGTTTTATTATTTATGAAAAATTAAAAAAATTGGACCAAATTGTATACACGCATAATAGTAATATTGAATGTTTTTAAATTACCATAATGGTCAAAAGTGTATTTATGACTTAAGTACCCAATGGCATTATAATTTTTGTATCCTTATACATTTCAGATTTATAAATTTTTTTTAATAATAGAAAATAATCATAAAAACCTAAATACGTATTTCAAATTCAACTTTAGAAGGACAAAAAGACAAAATTAAATCATTTTTTAAAAATACTGTTTAAGTACGGTATGGCTAATTTATTTAGTGTGAAAAACTATTTTTAATCAAAAAAAATGTTTCTATTCTGTCGTAAATTACCTTGTTTGTTAGGTATACTGGAGACCAATAAACAGGATGGTCATTTTGATACATAACCAAAGGTCTAGCCATTACAAGTACATAGTTTAATACCTTTTCACGTAGATTTCTTTGGTCTTCAATGTGCTCAAAATAACCTAAAAACAGTATATAAGGAAATTAGAATTTTTTCGGTATTTTATAATTATTTAAAAAAATGTATTTTCATTTTGAAATGAATATATATAGAAATTGATATTTTATCTAATGTTTTTTATTTAAACTAGCAAATTTTTTTATAAGTTCTAAGAATCTATTAAAATGTATATTTATTTTGTTTGTAAATTTTACCTTTGTTATTGCAAGCAATCCAATTCATGTCGGCAGCATTAGAATTATCTTTACCCACTAAATATGTAAATACTCTCACTGGCATATGTGGTTTATTGTGTTGCAATATTTCTTTATAAGGACCAAAAGGGCCATCAGTAATAACTAGTATGGCTTGGTTGCATTGACTGCCTTGTCCCGTTTGATTAAACTATTTTAACACAAAACCATCATGTTAGTATTATTTGTTAATCACTTATCAGAATATGTGGTAAAAATATTATCCCAGTTGTATAGGAGTTTCAAAATTAATGAATAAAAGTTACTTTGTGTAGTATGTCGAATGCACGAGCTAAAGCACCAGTAAAGTTAGAACCTCCTGTAAACTTTGATTGCGCCACCGCCCATCGTAAGTCTCGTAAGTTCTTTTCATTGGCCTGGAATATGTGAGAAATTATTCAAGAACAAATATTATTAAGGATCAATAGTTTGTATCTTACCTGAACAATGAGTTCTTTAAAGCATGGTACTATTTCATAGTTGGATGCCTCCAAAGATAAAACATTTACAAAATCATTAGCTCCCAGAGTGTCCAATGCTGCCAATGCAGTTGCTCTAACTAAACTCAGTTTATAGTCGGAAAGCACATTAGATAGATCAGCTATAATAATTATGTCTTTGGCACTAGTTGCGGCTTCGACAAACCATTGATTTAAACGGTAATCGTACATATTAGATGGAGCTAACCCCGAGTATGTCGACCACCTTAATGCTAAAAAAAATTACAATTTAATTTTTAATATATATATAGAATTACTACAAGTCTTAATGAAATTAAAATTTATACATTTATGATTTGATGAGATAGTAACTAAAACACTGAAGTACATCTGTTTCCACATTAAATTTATACCTTAACACCGACGTAGCGATATTGCCTATACAAGGTGCCGAGTTATAATAAAAACTGCAACTTACTTGGAAATCTTCGTAGAATTCCCTTTGTACTTCCAAAATATTGCCACGAAAGTACAGGATCCATTTCGTAATTGCTGACAAATATTGGATCTAAATTGCTAGTCCATTGCATGCCTTGTAGTACGGCCTCATCGTCAATTTCTATATAAACAAAGTTAAATTTATGAATGCAATTTTTTTCTTGAAATACAAATAAAAAATAAAATACAGTATAAAACTTATTCAAAATTTTAAAATATTTAAATATATAATTGCAAAACGAATTTAAACATTAGAAAATTAAAATATACCAAGTTGAATTATTTAATTTAGCTTATCATAACATTACTTTAGTTGTTTCAGGAACCAGAAATAAACTCGAAAACAGGGTTTTGAAATCGACTTTAACCTAATAATCGATTTTTAAGCATACTTTTACTCAGCTTTTATTCGTTACTCGATTTGGACAGAGATTTACTATTTGAAACACTTTAATTTTTTAAATAATATCTTTATATTCAATTATAGAATTTAAACTCGCATAGAGTAATTAGAAATAATACATAATATAATATTGTCATGCGAAATGAATGAGGTAGTAACTTAAAAAAGTTCAATTTTGAGATTATGAGGTACCTGGATATATGTTTTACTCTTCTTTTAATAATAAATTTCATCAAAATATCGAAAATTTAATTTGAATCGGAATTTAACTACTTACAAAATTGATCAACATATAGGGTGTAATCAGAAAATATATTTTATTATTAATCTCCTGCAAAATAAGAAAAAGTGAATTATTACCTTATTCATTGCGCATATCGATAAAATATACTTTGAATTAGAAAAATTTGTTATCGTTAGACTGATTTTTACTCATCTATAAACTACAAATTCAAATGTCTTTATTGTTATATCTGTGATTTTTGTATTCATCTTTCTTTTAACATCTATACAAATACTCTTAGTCTCTTTTTACAATAATAGTAAGAATATATAATGATAGTATATATTTTCCTCTAAAACATTTAGTTCGATTTTCAAAATTGTGTAAACACAAGACTAAAAGTTATTTGCATAAACGCAAACAAAATTAAAAAAAAAAAAACATAAATTTAATTGATATAGTCTATTATTTATTTATTATAATTTCAACCATTTAGAATCTAAGAAAAAATTTTAGAAGTATATAAATGTAAGTAAAGTTATAAGCTATGCAAAATAAAAAGAATAGAAATCTGACAGTAATATAAGGAAGAAGAGAAATAAGAAACAAGGCCCAGCGGAAACGAAACCTTGACTAGCACACTAGAAAATATGTTTTGGTTTACAAAAACCACATTTGTCGTTTTATGTTTCAACAGCCTATTGTAATTAATTAATTTACATTAATTATTTATATCATAGTATGTAAAAACCTTTACCCTGCTCTAAATATGAGCTTTGTAAGAGAACACAGTTGGAAGTTGTATTAAATGCACATTGTTCGTATCGTTCAACAGACTCAAGGCTTTTATAATCTGTAAACTCATCATTTAACAATCGTTCACTTCTTATGGATGTGTCTTGTTGGGATAATGCGGATTGTTCACCAGCTTCCATCAGTCTCTGAAAAATAAATACGTATTTTTGAAATCGTTAAGCTGACTTTGTTAGAAAGTACTCTGTTACATTTAAACATTTAAATATGTTACTCTGTAACATATTTAATAAAATAGTAGCTCACAACATTTGTTACATTCCTGAAATGAGATTTTTTACCAAACAAAATTTAGTTGAGACTGTTGTAAATTAAAATTGTTATTACATACTTCCAGGGAATTCAAATATTATCTTCTTGGCAAGAATTCAATATTTAGCAAAGGTTAAAGTATCCATTAACTATAAGAATATCGTCTAGAAGTATTGACTGAATAATGGTAATATGTATACAGAGACCAAAAGAATGAAAAAGTTGCTAAACGAAGGCAAAACTTTCGAGACAGAAATAAATTGATAACCACTGCCAAACAATGAATACAAACCAATAGTAAATAATTTTTTAAACTTTTTAGTTCATAAGACAATGAAAAATTATATCCTAAATTTCAAATGTTCACCTGTAAATTTATTTTTAAAATTGGATAATTTATCACCAGTTTAAGAATATACCAACATGCATAATTAGTTCAAAATTGATATTATTTTAAAAATTAAATTTGATAGTTTGAAATTGTTAGAACGTTTTATAAATAAATTTCAAAGAAATGAAAATAATAAATGTCCCATTCAATAATTCTTGCATCATATATTATACCTCATACATAGTGTCATATTTTCTGGCATCTTTAATAACTTTTGATCCAGTGAATATTTTGCATTGTTATTTAAAAAAATAATTTTTACACTTTTGGACTACGTTTTATATTAATAATTATGATTATACAAGCATTTTTTTATTATTATTTATTTCATTTAAAATAAATAATAAAAAAATTGTTTTTATCTTAGTCCGATACTGTAATATTTAAAAAAAGAAGACAAATTATTTGCTGTGTTCATCCATGATACCTTATAAAGGAGTCAACTAATAATTTTCATATGATAACACATGTAATTAACTAGCTTATTTATTAGATAATGACCTAATTAAGAAAATTACTGATCCATAATAACTTTTGGAACAGTATTTTGGGAGTTATTGACATGTTTATACCTAAGTGGAAAGGAGAGTACGGTCAAGAAATGTCTAATTATAAAAATAGCAGTAGCCATTATTTTTTAATAACCTAAGTCATTACTTTAAATTATTAATAATTAGATCGTTAACTAATAAATAAACTAGTTATTTATGTATTTTGCTATTTGAAAAATTAAAGTTGACACTCTTATAAGGTATAAGGGATGAACATAAAATATACTTTATGAGTGAAAATTGAAAAAAATATTGATTTTAAAGAAATCAATAAAAAATATATCAATATTACTTTTATTTTTCGACTAATAAGTAGTAACAATAAATTGTTGATTGAAGTAATTTTTTTTTTAAATATTAATGTTAACTCAAGTTTTTCTAATAAAAAGCATCTCATAAAATATTTTACTGGAGAATTGAGAATGATTGATCATTATTTTATATAAAAAATACGTTATTTGAGATCATTTTACTAAAATAATTCTAATATGAAAAATCTGTCCTATAAAACTTTGATGACTCTGTATATAGCGGACAAGTTACGAGAATAGCCTAAGCAGTCTTTGTAATAACGGGTTATGCAAATTAAATGAAAAGAAACTAAAGATTTCAGGTATGCGTGAAGTGCTTTATAATATTATCTGTCAGATAGCATGGGTAGAAGGTTTAGTCATTAAGGGTGTTAAAATGGTGTTTGTATTCTCCTCTTTAACCACGAGCCTGTTAATTAAATTCCCAACGATGCAAAGCGCTGTGTATCTGACAGTGTCTCTTCTTGCTCTTGCAGTGCCAAAACAATTCGGCAAACTAATCGGCTTTAACAATCTACACACGATGATTTTCTTGTGTACACAAGAGAGATAGCTATACGTAGTTGGAAATCTTATTGTTACGACTCTTGGCTAACACGCCCAATGAAAGCATCATCTCTAATTACATGTCTTATACTGCCACTGCAATAAAGAGTTAATGACTGTTCATTGATACGATAGATGAACAATACAATGAATTTTAGGTATAGTTGTTTATCGTCTAACCAAATTTTGTTTCATGTAAACTTAATTAACCAATTCTAATTTATGAAATATTTATTGAATAAATGTCAAAATAATTTACAAAAATATCGTGAAGAAAATTCATAAAAATATCCCAAGCATTTAATTGTTTTAAAAAATTGATTAAAATAAATATTATTACCAATACAGAATTTCTTTTAATGTCCATAAAATTCTTCACTTCAGCAGCCAAGTCTCGAATGAGTATAAGACCATCTTTTCTCTTTACTTTTGCTTCTCTTTCTCGATACTTCTATAAAAATAATAATTAAATTTTTAATAAAAGCAATAAATCGGAAAAAATAAAATAAAAAATGTGTTGAATTATTCTTTTCATTTTAATAGTTTTGTAGTATTTTACTTACTCTTTGTATTTCATGCATGTTTGTAATTTGCCTGCCAAACTCCCAAAGATCAACGCCAAATTTCAGAGCCCAGTTTTTTACTCTAAAAAATAATATATGAAGAGTTTTAATTATTATCTAAATAAAACTTTTGTATCAAAACTAAATCGAAACTTGCATATTTTTAGATTGACTTCTAATTTAAGTCTCTAACCCCTTACATGAAAATATTTTGTAGGTCACAAGAACTACGTACGTGACTTCTATTAATGGGATCACCTTAGTACAATATGTATATGCCGACTACATCTCATGTATCCTTTATCCGTAAAAAAATTGAATACCACAATGTAACATAAAGTTATCAAACTGTGTAGAAACATATCCTTCACACAAAAGTAGACTTTGTATATTATATACGGTGGTCAGTATACTTAATAAAATAGGTTAAATTAGGGTATTAAATAAGAAACTTGCATGTAAAGTATCAAAAGATGATTCATTAAAAACTTTAAAAAGGTTAACAAGGAATTTTACTTCTAGTATTTAAACTATAAATTCCAAGTTATTATACAAGAATTTAGTATATTGCAGATATTATTAAATTTCCAAAATATTATCATAAATATTATATCATTTATGACAGCATTCTAAAACTGTGCAAACACAAATTTTAATTAATTAATGTACATCTACAGAATATAAATTAATTTGTCTTATATATACGAGTATATAATAAAAATTGATCACTTATGGCTAATATAATTTAAAATAAAAAATATGTTTAAAATGTTAATTTAAAACTAAAAATTTATTTTAAATATTAAAAATACTGAAGTCAAAAAACTATAAATATTAGAAAATATCGTACATGTATTTTGGGAACAATATTACCACCACCATCGTTAAACATGTACGTATGTTTTTAAAAATAAATATACGCGATTTTTTTAGTATTTTTTGTGGTCTTTTATGTTAAGTTTTTTATATTAACTTATAAGAATACTCAATAAGTTACAAAAAATATGAATTTAAAAACTATTTGAAAATATTTATGTCATTAAGTCCATATTGCAAACATATTTTCTAATCCATAGATTTCTCTGTAGTTATGATTATCGTATTTTTAAAAAGTAACAACTGCTTCCATAACTATTTTTAAACATTAATTTATAACGATAGTTAAATCAATAAAATATAAATATGTAATATCATCGTAAATTGTGTCTAGACATGTTTCTACATATTAATATATAAAAAAAGCGAATATGCTAATAAAGTATCATATGTATACATATGATTAATGGTTTTACTTATAAATAAAACCATTAATCATAGTTTTTTCTAAAAGCATATAATATTTATTCGTATTCCGTGTACGAATACACAGAGTACGAAAATGTATGTATATGAAATTTATTTAAAAATGCAATATCTACAAATTAGAATCCGTTCTTTTTCTATTTCTTATTTCATTCTTTCCGCTATCGTAGCCCTTAAAAATACTTAATCTGTGGATCGCTCATAAGTTTTTATTTCTGTGGATTTAATAAGTTCAGTGTTCTCATCCTATAGCATGGTTGAATTGCTCGGAAACAAGTTGGACCAGCCGCCGTACGGCCAGAGGCGCTAGCGTCTCTCGCCGCCTTATCGATCGTCCAGCAGTCACCCGGATTTTAGTCGAAAATGACCTCCCTCGGTGGCACCAGTTAAGTGAAAGAAAAATATAAATTTTCCAAAAATGTGGGGTGGATACTCTACTTAATTTGCCCAACAAAATTAAAATGAAGTATTTTTTAAAAGTAATTCACAATTATATTTAGGTACTTGGTAATTAGCATATTAATAAATATGTAGTAGTTAAATTGTACAAATGAGTAAAATAATACAAATTTAACTAACTAGCTGTACAATTCATTAAAAATAAAAATGAAGTTTTTTAATGAGTAAATTTAAACCTCTGTTCTTGAATCCTTTTCTTAAAAAATTGTTATTAACTTATTAAATATTATTTTTATAATATCTACAATTGTAAATTATACTATTGTTTTGATATTTTGTACATTTTTATTTGAATTAATTTTTCATGGTGGTTTAAAACTAATTATGCAATGATATAAAAATTATATTTAATATGGTTCTTCTAAGGAATTCTTTCTAGGTATCATTTAAATTATTCTTTTTGCAAGCTTAAAACCATTTATAATTACACTCAAACCTACTTCACTACTACATTTTGTACTATATTTTTCCAAATATTAATTCAGTAAATTGTTTCTTTAATAAATTCAGGAAATTCATAAGATACCTTTATAACAACAACATATATTTACTAAAGTACAATTTTTAGGAGGTCTTTTTAGATATATACGAGCATCTCAGGAAATGTTTAGCACCTACATTTTTAAAGCTGCACCAAATTTTTAAAATAAATTATTTTGCAAATGAGTGAATTTAAAACATTTTGTGTTTGTAAATTTATTGACAATTTTGTTCTTCTGTTAAAAATCAATTAATTTCGAAAATAAAACTAAGATATTCATATATACGAAAAATGTAGTCACAATAACAAATGCAAACAAAGAATTTCTCATACATAAATGAAATTTTTGTAAAAAAAATATCGAAATATTACAGATACGTGTTCCTAATATTAGGGTAAGGATATAATGTATCCTAATGTTTTGTATATACTAATTATATTATAACCTATCCCAACCCTCAGTATGCGCCTGATTTAAGGTTGAAATACTATTTATCGATAGTTAAACTCGTGATTACTAATTCTCAGTGGCATATTTGGCATAAGGCTCGTGTTTCATTATTAAACGTGCAATGCTGATACAAAAAAGTTTGTTAACCTTTTTTTTTTGCTCGTAATCAACTATAAATGAATAAACAAATCTTCATAGTAGCTTGTCAATTAAAAAATTGTATTTATGCCCTCTTCCATTATTATAATTTTTTTAATTTTTGTAATATACATAAGTATACAAAATTTCAATTCTTTTATGAAAAATCTTTAAAAAAACAACTAACTATTTTCTATTCAATTAATACAATATTTCTATAATATATTTTATATACTATTATTTTAATTTGATAACCAACCGAAACCTTACAAAAGACTATTAGTAGGATAATCATATGAAAACCCTATTTATAAAACTATGTGGTTACTAAAAAATATTTTTATATTTTTATTTTTAAGATGTAATTTAAACATTATTAATATTAAAAAATAAATTTACTAAAAATTATTGAATAACAGTAAGTACATAGTTATTTAGTTAAAGTTATTTCAAAATAGCTTGCACCGATAAAGCCAGCTCGTTCGGCTAAATCAAACGTTAAAAAGTCAGCTAGTTTTCAAATGGACTTACATAGATTAATTTCTGAGCTACGCTAGTTTATTAGTAGAAACGAATTTCAATAACATTTTTTTTTATTTTACTAGAAATTTATTTAAACATTACGTCATTGAGGAAAAGAAGATTCCACATATCATATATATCCACTAAAGATTAAAAGTTGTAACTTTAGTAAAAATACTTTAAAATTTAATTAATTGATTAATTAAAATTAAAGTAATAAAACAAAAATACCGAAAAAATGTGTCAAACAATAATTAAAACATATAGAGAGTAATTACCAAAACTTAACTAAAATTAATATTTTGAACTGGATTCATAAATTTATCGGTAAAATTAAACCAAATATAATAATACGCCGTTTTCATATAGTTGCTTTGAGTGTCTTCAACAGCAACTGTAAACAGGCTGATGGATCATTTACTGACGAAGAGAATTTTTACCCACTGTGAAATTGTTTTGAATATTTAACAGTGGACGAAGAACTTATAACTAGTAACGCTAGAACTTTGGATGTAACGATCACCTATACAATCTTTAAGGAAAATGAGAAAGAAGACGATCCGCATAGATTCCAAAAATTACTGAGCAGTAATTACTAACCAGCACTGGTATACAACATCTAAAAAATATCATACTTATTGTAGAAATACTAAAAGTACTATCCTCTATTGAACGTGCTGAAGAAATATTGGGTTATATTAATAAAATAGAAAATTTTCTTGCTGAAACGTATTCTCAGAAAATTTTAAAAACAAAATTAAATACTTTTATTAAGAAGGTTTTAAATTGAATGTAAAGAACTGAATAATATTATTTTCATTATTAAAATCTCAGCACAGTGGGGTGGTGGCACACTGGGGTCGTGGCATAGTTGGGTCAAGTATAGATAATATCTGACAGTGATTAAAATCACTATCATAAAAAACGCTTTAATGCGATCTGTAGATAGTGTTTAATTTTAAAAAATTAATGAATTATTACAAAAGCTACATGATCTCCTATTTCATTATTTATATTCTGATTACAAGTTTTATGGTTTATAAGTGTAATATATGAATAAATAAAAATATATATATTAATAATATAATATATAAAAGTGTCAGTATTTCCGGAATACTTTCAAAAATTAAGTTGAAAAAGTTCTACTTTCTATATGTATTTTTAAGTTTTGAACCCCCTCTGTATTAAGGTACATGGTCTGATTTAAAAAAAAAGTATGTCGAATGAAAGATGTATATAAATATTATTTCTCATAAAATAATTGTATTGATCCATACATTTTTCATAAAGATATAGCATTTAAAGGCTAAAAATGTAAAATATAAAATCGAGAATTTTAACACAAAAATAGCATACGGTAACCATTTTCACCGTGAAGACAAAATAAAGTCCGATTTTTTTTGTTTTCATAATAAAGTATATTACACAAGCTTTAATTTAAGGTTAAATTATTAATTAAAAGTGTCAGTATTTCCGGAACACTTTAAAAAGTTAAGTTGAAAAAGTTAATTTTTTGTGAAATAGTTGTCACTTTGAATCCCCCTCTGTAGGTAGGTAAAGAGTCAGATTTATAAAAAAAATATACCAAATAATAGTTAAAGACATCAAGCATCTATATAAAAAAAAATTATATTGATTTGTTCATTTTTTAAAAAGTTATAGCAGTTTTAATTTAAAAAAATTTCGAAAATTAGCAATTTTTAAATTTGTAATTTTTTTGGAGGTTTCC